CAGCCCCCTCCTCCCTCAGACCCGGGGTCCAGCCCCCAGCCCCCTCCTTCCTCAGACCCAGGAGTCCAGCCCCCAGCCCCCTCCTCCCTCAGACCCAGGGGTCCAGCCCCCAGCCCCCTCCTCCCTCAGACCCAGGGGTCCAGCCCCCAGCCCCCTCCTCCCTCAGACCCAGGAATCCAGGCCCCTGGCCCCCCCATCTCTTTGTTGCTGACAGTTTCTCTCCATCTCTCCCTTCACGTGTTGAGCTGAGGGCTCTACCCTGGGTGGCACAGTGCCCTGGGGACCTCTGTTCAATCACTCTGGGCTACAGCTGTGTCCACCCTACTTCTCCCACTAGACCAAATGCCCTCAGAGTAGGGCCAGGGCTGGCTCATCCTTGCCTCCAGCACCTGGGCTGGGCCTGCACAGTGATGTGGCCACCTGTCTCTCTCCATTCTGGTCACCATCCCTGCTTGGGTGATGCTCATCCTGGGTCTCAGTCTATTTCTTGGTTTTGGTACATTCATCTCTCAGTTCCTCGGTCTCTGTCTCTCTGTGTCTCTATCTCTCAGCCTGTCTCTTTCAGTCCCTGGGTCTCTCACCCTCCCTCAGAAGTGGGGGTCTTGGGTGTGGGCTGTGGCTGGGCCTGGAGCTGAGGCGGGCTGGGTGCGTGGGGGTGGCAAAGGGGGACAGGGCTGGGCAGGTTTCAGGAATGTGGGAGGGACAGGCTGGATCAGACTTGCCCGGCTTGGCGCCAGAGCCCCCCTGCTCCCCCTTGGCCCCCCTGTCTCTTTGATAGGGGGTAAGGTGAGTCACCCCAGAAGAAGGTAGGGTTGAAGCCCAGGATCCTGGGTCCTGAGGGAGGTCCCTGGAGGCCTAAGTCATGGATCCTGGTGGAGGAGGGCCTGGACTCCTGGGTCCTGAAGGAAGGGGGTCTAGGGTCCTGGACTCCTGGGACAGAGGGAGGAGGGGGCTGGGGGGCTATACTCCTAGATTTGAGGGAGTTGGGGCCTTGGGACTCAGACTCCTGGGTCTGAAGGAGGAGGGGCCTGGGGGCCTGACTCCTGAGTCTTGGGAAAGTAGGGGGCTGCGGGTCTGGACTCCTGGGTCCCGGGTCCAGGCAGAACAAGTCGTTCTTGTCAGGAAACCACGCTCTTTCACCCTCTGGGCTGGCATTCTGGCACCACAGCTCTCAATTCTTAGAACCTCCCTTCTCTTTCCTACCCAGCCCGGCCCAGCCCAGCCCAGTCCCTGGGGATCCACTATTTGCCATACTTGTGCCAGGGGCCTGGATTCCCAGGCACCCACTTCTGACCCCTGCCAGTCCCAGGGGAGGGGGCGTGGGGCCAGGTGAAGTCTGGGGCGGGGTCTGAGCTGCAGACAGAAAGGGAAGGTAGAGAGGTTTCCTCTCTCTGCCCCAATCTCTCTCATTGCCCGGTTCCTCAGTTCCCAGCCCCTCAGGGCCTCCTCCCCTCCCACCACCACGCAGGTGTGTGGATTTATCTGGGGCCCCAGGAAGGGGCACTGTCATTCGGAAGCACTTTGTTCCACTGCCACTGTCCAGGCCGGTGCTCCAGCCCTTTGCAGGAGGGAGGCGGGGTCTTTGGGGTCTGGCTTCCGAGTCTATGTCGGGAAGCCCCCATATGGATGCCACTTGGTGGTTTCTAGCCACAGGGTCCCCAACTTCTCTGAGGGGTACCTGACCTCCTCCAAACTTGAGAACTTTTGAGCAGGATCCCTGACGTTTTGGTCTTTTGTGCCCTGTGGGAAGAGGCTGCTGGAGGCTTGGACTCCTGGTCTGAGGGAGGAGGGGGCTGGGGACCCAGATTCTAGAGTCTGAGGGAGGGGTACGGGGGGGGGCCTGGATTCCTGGGTCCTTAGCGGGGAGGGAGCTGACTTCTCGGGTGCTTTCCGATCCACTGCCATGCTACCCTCAGCTCCCCTGCCTGTCTGTCCCCAGGTCTCTCATTGGGAGGGGCACACCCCAATGTTCCCATATCCCTACTCCCTGGGGTTCCCAGGTTTTGTTCCTTCTTCCTGCTGAGCCACCCCCCAGTGCCGCCCTGTTCTCAGCCCTAGCCATACCTGGGCGCGTCCCGAGTAGGAGCGTGAGCAGCAGCAGCCGCGAGGCCCTGCGCGCCCCAGCCAAGGCGTCCGGGGGCTCCATGTTCGCGGCGGCGGCGGCGGCGGC